TTTGAACTACCAATTCATTACTCTATTAGGCTGATTAATTAATCATTAATACAGTAAGAATGAAATGAGATTTTACTTATAAAACCAAACAAACAAATTTAAGTTAATATATAAATAGCATAACATAGAACCAATAAGAAGACGATGAGCATTTCCCACCGGACCAAATTACACCGCCTTGTTTTGGTGCCCATTTATCCGGCAAATTCCCACTTTGGGGAGTAATAAAGCGAAGCAAATCTTTGTGCAAGACTGAGAGCACAGAAAGAACGTCACACAATACCGCCTCGGAGGATTGCGGCACAAAAGGGGGCGACGGCTGCAAACATTTGGACTTGGTTTTTGAGGGAGGTGCACCCCTGGGAGAACAGATTAGTTTCCTTTGGGAGTTAAACCATCGTGTAGGTCTTTGAGGTCTGTGATTTAGTGATTGAGTAATGGGGTTTGGTACGGCTTGTAAGCCTGCCAAAAGGAAGAATGCCAAATTTAAAACTAACGTGGCAATTGGTAGTGATTTTCACCCACTTACCAGAAGGTTGGTGATTTCCTGGAGATGAATGAGATTGCTAGTGGTCTGTGTTTGTGTCCTTGAGCAAATCAGTTCACCCACTTTGCCTAAATAATTCTGTTTTGTTAGCGTGATTGATTGGTCCACTGGTGCTGAATGCCATTCACTTTTTAACTGCTTTGGTTTAACTGTCAGAGTCTGTGGCTATAGTATTAGTATATTAACACCACAGTCTGATCGAAAAGTGAACAAATGCAATGAAACAGGCCATGTGTGTATTTACAGAATAACTGTATATATATATATATATATATATATATATATATATATATATATATATATATATATATATATATATATATATCCAATATCTACGATGATGATGTTCAGTAAAAGTATGCAGGACTATACACAAACAGGAAGACAACCCATAATCGTGATGCATCCAAAGCCTCAAAAAACACCACACAGATCTCGATCATCAACACATCTGACACCTGTCGCACACCAAAATAACACAGAGCCATAAACGTATCAATATGTCTCAAGGCCTTTTGAACCTTAATCTATCGGGCCATAATTCATTTAAAAACATCATATCCCTTTAACTATCAGGTCAGAAGCTGTCTGGTCTCATCATATGAACGGACAGTGGGAATAAGCCCTGGTATGTTTGCCTCACATGGTCCACTGTGGGCTGGCTCAGTCAGGCAGATAAGCACATGCGCTCCGGACTCCTAAAATACATTCCCCAGAAAAAAGGAGCCACTGGCAGTCTGATACATGGTGCAAATGTTTACCCGAACAATGGCCTGTCTTCTGTGTCCTGTAAATAGTTTTACAGATTGGGTTCCCGGAAAAGTCCTATGTTTCACCAGAATGGATATGACATATGACGTTACAATGGCTGAGTGTTGATCTTTTTTATTGTCTTTTGCAGATGGGTGTGGTAATTGATTAAAGGGTCTGTACCCACTTTTTCCCATGTATTTGAGCTAAACAGTAATCAAAATCAGATTACACTAATCTATAATCCACAAATTAGAAGACAATGTACAGTATGTAGACTAATTTTTACACCATGCACTAAAACTAGCTGTTGATTGAAAAGGCCTAGTTGTGTTTTGTTTAATTTGTAAATGTTTAACATGCAAATCCTGCATATTTGGGTTCTTCTCTCAAGCACTCTGTTTCACTTTGTGATGTCATGTGGTAATACAGGTAGTGCTCCACTGTGTTTTTAAACTCCATACACCTTCACTAGAATCATTTGGATAATTTCAGCCCTGGAGTTTCCAATCCCCACTAAACAAAAAATAAAAGTTAGCTGTTAACTTGAAAATAGTGCTTCATGACAGAGGATTTTGAGCTTTGGACAGTTACTCAAAAGTGTGTGAATGAAACAAAGCACAACTCCAGGTATGTTTTTAATGAGGTAACAACTTTCTAACATGTCTTAAAGCTCACAAGAGTTGATAAACCTTAAGAATTCAATTAGACTGTGTGATTTAAAGAAAGTAGTACATTTAACAGCAATCTTAAGAATGCCTAGCACAGATGTTGCTTCAAACATACCGGCGGATACAACTGTCAGAAAAGCCCCATTGACGTTTATACAGATCTCTTTTTAATGAAAACAGCAGGGCGTTTATCTCAAAGTACATCTTCCCAAAGCTGCTAGAACAGACACCTGTGCAGATTGAAAGAGAAACCACAGAAGCCATTCAGCAGCACACAGCCCTCATAAGTCACTGTACAAATAATTTAAACCAAGAAAAAAAGAAACCTGTGAACTGATGTATTTTTCAACCAGTGTAATGGAATGATTTTTACAGCTAATAGATATAAGCCAATATCAAAAATGCTATTCACCTTATTCTGGAAGTTGCCGTGGGCACCGCAATTGTCATTGGGGTTGTATTATTTTGCATACAGACTAAAAAAACATTTTAAATTCTCCCAGTATATCAGTGAAGTGCTGAACACTGAACATCAACTTACTTTACATCATATCTAAGGGGTTAAACTTTCTCTAATGCTCCATTTAAATGAATGGGATTCTCATTTAACCGAAACTGCCACCACATAGAAAGTGCAGTTTAGGAGCATTTAGACGCAAAAGTGGGCAGAGGGCAGAATAAGGTCAGTATAGGCTACATATTTATTACACAATATGGAAATAAAATGGGCAACTGTCCATTTCTAAAGCTATCAGAGAGATCCACAATTGAATTGATATTGCAGATCCAATTAGCAATTTGTTAAGACTGTAATAATTTAGATAATATACAAACATCTATGCCAGGGCTGAGCAAACTTTTTGACTCATGGGCCACAAAGCGTTCTAAAATTGACAGAAGGGCCGGACCAGGAGCAGATGGATGGAGCTTTTTGGTAATCCATCTCATAAGAGAAAAAAAATATCCCATGTTAATGAAATATCCCATAATCGGAAATCATTACAAAGTATTACAATAAAATATCTGTCTTTCAAGTCCCAGGGTATTTACTATTTATTGAAATTACTTTTAAAATACTGAAAATTATTATGATAATTATTATTATTATTATTAAAGTTTGGCGAGCCAGATTAAAAAGATTAAAGGGCCACATATGGCCCCCGGGCCGTAGTTTGCCCACCCCTGATCTATGCTAACATCATATACCATCTCATGCTCTCTACTAACAAATGTATATTTGTAATTTCAATTATTACAAGTACATATTCACAATGATATGTGTGTTTATTCTGCCATTTACAACCTGGAGCTAATCTACAGCAAACAAACAAAAGTCTCACAAAATATTAAACATAAAATATATATTCTCAACAGATTAAAAGATCAAAACAAAATAGTTGTGATTTCAATTATGAACCAAATAATGATAGTTATAATCAAGTAGCCCTATTTAAACTACTGCAGATTTTGGTGTTGGTTTAGTCTCCTATGAAATATTATACTACTAATCTTGAGCTCACACACATCTACTAGCCAGGTTCTGATCACTGCAACACTTATACTGTTGTCATAATGAATTAGCACTTAGTACAAGTTATCTGTCAATGTCCTGTCACTAATAGCTATGCATAAAAAGCTTTTTTCTGTACAACTGGGAAAAAAACACCCTCGCAAAATAGTTACCATATTTATCCATTAGTACTAAAGGGTGAAATGTGAATGTAGATATCAAGAACTATTTCAAAAAGCTCGAACATAATATGGGAAAGAACTGAACTATTTACAAGCACAGGTGCAGCCTTGTGAGGTTCAGTGGCTGTAGTCAAGCTCTTTATAGAACCACATAATGCAATAACTCTGCTTTCCCCAGGTTCTCAAATAAACTAAGCATTACCGTGTATTAAAGTCGGCATCCCCTAAAGACCCTGCATGTGTCCATTCTCTGGTAAGCGTGGCCTATATTTAGATTTTTGGGGGCTCTTTGCTCACCTCAGCTCGACTAAAAACAGGGACACAAAAGCCACGCACCATTGTCTGACACTGTGCCCACTGGGAACCAAGTAGATTCAACACGTGTGCGCCAGGGGGGAGCTCTTTTGTTGTCCGGGTTTTTGAAGTCCAAGTCCCAGCCTCCACCTGCACTCCTGGAATCTGATTTAACATCTTTCTGATCCCTAATCCCAAGACAGGATTCCTCTCTCCTCACAGAGCATAAAGCAGCGTGTGGTAGCATTTTAAGGGTTAAGAAGAGTAAAATCAGTGCCTGCTGGAGACACAAGTTACAGGAAGTTTTAAAGTTACAACACGGATGTGAGTCTTGATTTCTGGCAAGCAGCCAACTTAAATGACTTAATTTGCGGCTTCTGCTGACGATAAAGATATTATGTATCCAAAAATAAAATGAAACTGGGAGTTTGTTGGGAGTCAAATCCAGCCAAACCAACCATCAAAAAAGCAAAGAGACATTACATTTTACACTTTGTGCGAGTCCACCCAAACCACCCTTTAAAAATGGGCATAGAAAGGGCACATTTTCAAGATGTTTTCTTCTGTGCTGTATCTACATGTAAGTAAATTTCAGCTACATTATGTTAATTAATAATAAGAATATAATACATAATACTTGTATAGTGCTTTTTAAGATACTCAGAGACGACTGACATGAAAAGACAAACAAAGGCAAAATGAAGAAATAAGAGAGTTAATGAAGTGTGGTTTTAAAGAGATGGGTGTTCAAGATTTTTTTAAACATTGGTAGTTTAGTTGATTAATCAGAATACACAAAACTAAACAACTTTTGGCATGTAAGAGATGACATGTCAGTTAATTGTGTAAACACTGGTTCAGAGTTTCAACACCAAGAAATTAGCTGTTTTTCTTGCTTGGTAAAATCTCCATAGAAATACACCCAGCCCAAAACCAAAGAAAACATGTTTCAAATCCTTTCTGCAGCTCTCTCTTGCATTCACACAGAGCAATTATCATTCAGACTGCAGGTAGCAACAGGTAAACATGGAAAATGATGGGCTTACCTGTCCGAGATCCAGGGTGACGTTGACCTCATTGTAGATCAGACCTCTGGATAAAGGAGGACTCTGCCACCACCTCTCCGTCCCATCAATGGCGTTTGAGGCTGGATGAGCTTTGTTTGGGTCATTGGAGTTACAGTAATCACAGAACTGGCCCTAATGCATGGGAAATGGTTACTATTCAGGTGCAAGTTTGACACTTAAATGGCCTATATTATACTATTTTCTGATCTGTGTTATAATGTTCTTTCATCATTAAAAAAATACCTGGAGTTTTTTGTTACATGCACACATGTTTAACACACAAATCCTGCATATTTAATCTGAGTTCTTCTCTCAAATAGAAAACACTCTGTTCCACTTTGTGATGTCATGTGGTAATAATGATTTTAAACTCCCGTACACCTTCATTAATCATTATTCGGATAATTACAGTCCAGGAATGAACAAAGGTAAAAGGTAGATGTTAACCTGAAAACACCATGTGGAACAGAGCATTTTGAGCTTTGGAGATGTAGACAGACTAATAGATTAGTCAAAGGATTACTCAAATATGTATGAATGAAACGAAGGAAGAACGAAACTGTGGGTATGTTTTTGAGGAGGTAACAACATTCTATCATGACTAAAAGCTCACAAGAGTCAATCTAGCATAATATAGGACCTTTAATGAACAACTGCCTAAAAATAAATAAAACAAGTTCAAAATGTAAATCCTTGTCTTTATTATTGCAACAATATACTAAAGGAATTGGAAAATATGGGCCTATTGAGTGTTATAGATATAGTCAATAAATTGTTTACAGAGAGGGTAGTGAGCCATAGACAAAAAAGATGGACTTTGAATTCCACCTTGCCCTACTGCCTGATTGACTTTGATGTGCGTAAAAACAAGGTTACTTTATTGTCAAGCATAAGCTACGACATTTTTCCTGAGTCTTGTTTGGGGTATATTAGCAGAACAATGATTGAAAAGTTAGACATTTCAAGTAGCAGGTTCATCCATCACGTAGCCTACTGCGCCAGTGTGAACTAGACATGCAATTATTTTAAAGTGCTACCATTAAGCGCGTTAAGTATTGTTGAGTATCCCACAGGCTTGCTTTTACCTGTATATTCTGGCTGAGAACCGCTGTTGTAGGTCCACCAACCAGTTTACAGTACAAATCCTGCCTTGGTCTCCCTGCTTCATCCTCGCCGCAGGTTGCAGTGGCTGAGATACGAGCACCCTCTGCGAGGTTAAAATACGGAGGGTTCAAACTGAAACCTGTCTCTCTATTAAAAGTCCCTTGTCCTTTGGCGTTCCAGAAAAGCGTTAGGAAGAAAGTACAAAACAAGACCACAACGTGTGCACATTTCATTCTCTTCGCCATATTCCGCCTTAAAATCCCCGGTAGATGCTGAGGGCAACCCGCAACATGCAGGTCTTGTCATCTGGATATCCTCAAAAAAGCGCTCAGATTACGCACAGTACTCCTTCGTCAAAATGGACTTACTCCAAGCGCGTCAAACCAAACTTTCCATAAATCCTTTATGGAAGAGAGAGATGCGGTGTGTCTGTGTCCGCGGCATGTTTTCAAACCTCTGTGCGCAGTGGCTCTCCTCTCCAGAAGTGTGCGCCACAGTGAACGATCATCAGGTGTCGGGCTGCAGCACTACACTAATCCAGCGAGGGGGCCAAAGGTCTGTCACAGTTTATGACGATCTTGGAGGCTGTTTACTTAAGAAAACTATCTGTTAGGCATTTAGAATAAGGTAGACTATTTAAAAGCAATAGGCTACCTGCATTCGGGGTGGATTTCAACACATTTTAATGCATTTCAGATATACACGATAGCAACGAGTTTGATGGTCATGGTCATAGCGCATAGCCGGTGAAAGTAAGGGTAAAACCTGTACCTTAAATGCAATCTATGGCACCAATAAAATTAAAGGAATAAATAGACGTAGATCTGTGTAAGCCTTTTGGCGCCCTCTAGTGGAGATTACGAAAATAAATTTATATAGGCGTAAATCAGCGTAATTTACTCTTTAAAATAATTTAAAGTGTCTCGTGTTCATATCAGGTCGCCCTGGTCTCTGTCGTTTAATAGCCTAAAATGGTTTAACTCAGTCTACAGCTGCATCTGTGTGGTGTGTTGGCGCCCTCTTCAGGTCCAGATGAATGCGACGTCTGAAACTTGCACTCTGACACTAATAGATCCAGGCTCTGATCATGGATATACAATGACTAAATTGCAGTGTTTTTTTAATTTGTTTTTTTCTTTTTCATCAGTGCCTTTTCTCCCCAGAAGAATAAGACACAAGTAGGTTGAACAGGATGTCAGTTCCTGCAATTTGATCAGGTTTCTCTTCTTACAGACAGAGCTTCCATGCTGTCTGTCTTTGTTACCTTACGTCACCCCGTAACACCAATAATATTACACAAAATGTTATTCATTAATCAGCTGATTCTTAGCGAAGTTGTTTTTCTGGATCCAGAGCGGAGCGCGTGAGTCATTGAAGGGCAACTTCATTCCTGAGACTGGGCTGGTAACTTTCTGGGACGCATGTGTCATGGAGGCAGTGACAAGCAAACAGGAACTGAACGAGCTCTGATACGAAACCGAATTTGATCACAGGTGAAATCAGTTTTTATCTGAGATTCATGGAGCCAACGAACCTACAGGTGAGAGAGTAGCTGATGTTCTATGGTTGTGCTAATTAAGTGTATGCGCGTTTTCCTTATGTGGGCTACAGTAGTGTTATGCTTTTCACAACACCGTAGCAGCCTGTACACGTTACAAAGGAGTTACATAGCCCAATGGTCTATTTGGTCTATTTTGGCCTAATGAGAGAATAATAAATGTGTTATCTATTTGAGGGGTGGCATTGTACGTTTGTAAGTTGTCTACTTTTTCAAATTACTGCTGTTTTGCATCATCATTAAGACATGTTTGACCTCACATTTGGGGCAGGTTTAGTGATGACATCTAACAGTGATGCACCTTCAGACAGTTTGTTGTGCAGCGGCCAATAGATAGATAGCCCTTGTATTTGCCATTTCTTAGTTTTAAACAGCCACACAGAGCTACCGGTATGAACGTTTCCTAACCAGAATGAGGAGACAAAACATGAGCTTAGTCCATTTTAAAGTACTCACAGGTAAAAAAGCTTTGCGCTCTCACACCTTCTGTAGCTCCACTCTGTGAAAGATGACTCACGTAGGAGCGGTAGCACAGACTCTTTACATTACGAATATTTCACTTAGGCTAATTGTTTTAACTTAATACATTTTAGTCTTTAATTCAATTCTTTATACTTTTAACCATAATTAGGCTATATGAAATGAACTCCTTTTAGTCAAAATGACATGTATTACTTAGTTGTGTGTATAAACTTTATTCGAGTGTTCTTAATGAGAGGCTGGTCTGTTACCTTGAATCCTTTAATGTATTGGCAGAGGAGCAGAATGGGTTTAGGATGAAAAGAGCCTGTATAGATCACATATATTCTTATTCTTATTCTTGGTGCCACTTCCTTGTCCTTAACAAAAAGTACAAATATTTGGGACTTGTTTTGGATGAACATCTTACATTTGATGAAGGAATCAAAGCTCTGTCAGAATCAGCAGGTCGAGCCTTAGGTGCACTGATAAACAAAGTTAAAGCGTGTCGTGACCTGGGCTACAAAACCTACACTGAACTGTACAGGGCCTGTGTCTATCCTGTTCTGGACTATGGAGCTGGAGTCTGGGGTTACTGTAAACACACCCACAGTGAAAAAGTTGAGGTACTTTTTAGGCGTGCACAAAAAGGCGCCTAAACTTGCTCTGTATGGAGATATGGACTGGGAACCATGTGAAGTGAGACACATTTGTGACATGGTGCGGTTATGGAACAGGTTGGTTAATTTGCCAGACACAAGATTAACCAAACATGTATTTAACTGGAGTCTGTTACATAAATCGTCCTGGAGTAGAGAGATGGAGAACATTTTTGAGATTGCAGATCTCCAGTTTATTTACAGAAATAAGTTAATCTGTAGCGTTCGACAAGTGAGGAACATTTACTTTGATAAGTATAAACAAAAGTGGCACAATGACATCTTCTGTAAACCAAAATTAAGAACATATATCTTAATTAAAGACTGTTTTGGACCTGAACCATATGTCACCCTGAATCTGAGCAGAGGTCAGAGGTCAGTATGTGCCCAGATGAGGTGTGGGACTCTGCCTCTGGCCTTGGAGACGGGACGCTTCCACTCAGTCCCAGAGGAGGAGCGCACTTGTGTTCTGTGCGATTTAAAGGATATTGAAAATGAAATGCATTTTTTGTTTTACTGTCCTTTGTATCATGACCTTCGCTGTCAGTTGTTGTCTAATGTGTCTTTCTGTTGGTTTGTTATGTCTGATGAGGACAGACTTAAATATTTGTTTAAATGTAATGTTTTTAAGTTGGCTCAGTTTGTGCTGAAAGCCTGGGACCTCCGTAAGAGGACACTTTATGTTTGTTGTGTGATCTGTCTGCTTATTGTTTTATGTGTCTTATAAGTCCATGTGGGCTGGGCACCAACTAATGGTGCATGACACTAAATAAGTAAAATAAACTAAACTAAACTAAACTAAACTACTACAATGACTTCTAGGCTCTCACTGTCCTATAACTGCTTATCAAACGTCCACCAACCATACCTTAATAAACTAAATGTCTTTCTTATGTAGAAAGCGATTGCAATTGCTCAGAAGGCTTCACAGGAAGACCAGACTGGAAACTATGAAGAAGCTATTAGGTCCTATCAACATGCAGTCAAGATCTTTCTGCACATTCTGAAACGTGAGTCACATGTAAAATTTTCTGATGTTATTCTCCTCTCTCCATCTTCTAGACCTATCTTTATATGCTAATTTAGGCCTATTTATTTTAAAGGGTTGTTTATTTCATTCATAGTGTATGTTCTGTCTCATTAGGTGAGCCCCAGGGCAAGGATGGAAACCAGAAGATAAGAGACAGCTGTAAGAAATACCTGGACAGAGTGGAAGAACTGCAGGCCTACTTAGATAATAAACAGGTGGCTATGATATTGTTATAAATATATTTATGTCATTGTCTATTTACAAAGATTTACCAAGAGCATGAGTGTCTAAAAAGGATCTGATTAACCCAGTAATGGCTGTCAAAATTTGTTATGTAGAGGGCCTATTTAGTTCAGGCCTGAACAACAGCCAGCACAACACTAGGACATCAAAATTGAGACTAAACTGAGACTAGCTAAACCTAGACTAACAGGACTAAAGCAGGACTAGAACAGGACCAAACTTACCTCAAGCAAGGACAAGAAGAAATGTGTATGCACCCTAAATCAGTAAATCCCTAAAACTGTATTACATGTATCACTGACGGTTTGTGGACTAACTGTGATATGCAGGGCCTTCTTAAGTTTGAGTTTGTTTTATCTGGAAACATCTTTTAATGTTTTTTTTGTCTCCCTTCAGTTTAATCTGTGTGTATATATATATATATATATATATATATATATATATATATATATATATATATATATATATATATATACACATATACATATATATATATATATACACATATACACACACACACAAAATTTATCATTAATAAATTCCTGAATAAATTCCTGAATCTGATATAGTTCGGGTTTAGAAATGGTAGGACCCTGAAACACAATTTGATCTTTGGTGGAGAAAGTTTGGCGTCTGGCCTATAATTAGGCCTAGCCCTAATTACCATGTCACAAGTCTATCATGACATATTTTCACTAACTCCGGAGTTTTTGTTTGCTTTCTTATATTTATTCAGTTTGCAAGATAGAAAAGTGATTACATATAAATTAACTATAGTCTTATCTCTCTACTACGTAGTATTTTGGTGCGCCTTAAACGTGCGCGTTGACGTCATTACTTTCTGTACGCGAGGATCGACTTTTCAATGCGGAAGTTTCCACCTCGGGAGCGATCTTGAGAAGAAAAACAAGCCCCCTTTAACTAAATATTACACACTTTATAGTGTTTATTCTGCGAAATATTCTAAAGGGCTTTTAGGGTACTGAATCGTAGCTATATTTCTTACTGTTGGAGGATCGATTGGCCGCTATGGCTAACAATAATTTACAGGTAAGTTGTGGATGGACCAACCCAGGCTAAAATGCGCAAATACGCCAACAAAGTTGTTAACGTCGTGATCTAACCCGTACAAGTGACGGTGGCTTTATAAACATCGTTTAAAACACATAGGTGTGTTCATTATGACTAGTTTGATATTATTATGCTCATTAAAATGTTACTTATAATGGGTGTAGCATTAGCTGCTAGTTAGCATTTTGAGCTAAAGCTTCAACGCTGTTATAACAAGTTAAAACGAAATAGAGGAACCAAAATCGTCCTTTCTTCTTTCGTAATATGAAATCGTAAAGAATCGTGTTCTGTAAAGTTAAACTCTGAGCCTCATATTAGGTTTGTTACTTAATTTAACACTAATAAGATTAAGGTTTCGGTGTCACTTAACTGGTTTCAGCTTTTAAAATTCGCACCTGCCGCAAAATACGCTTTGTTCTACTTGTTGTCTTATTTTATTATTTGATTTTATTTTTATTATAAATTATTGTTTTGGGTATTTCTATACATATTATATAATTTAACGTGACAATTTACGTTCTTACGTCAAACTCCCGTCAAAACAGGTGGAGCCATGTGCTTTAATACTCTGAAATAAATATTGGCCCCAACAACGGTTTTATGTTAAATACAATTTAGTATAACTAGTACTAGTACTGGTATACTAGTTTGCTAATATGTGTGTGTATGTATATGTCTCGTTTCAAATCATTCTTTTTATTTTAGCACAAAACAATAATACAACGTGGTTTTGGACACAGTACTGTCTGGTAAATGGTCTTTTATTTCTTTTATATAGAAAGCTATTGATCTTGCCAGCAAAGCAGCCCAGGAGGACAAAGCACAAAACTTCGAAGAGGCTCTACGATTGTATCAGGCCGCTGTCCAGTACTTCCTTCATGTTGTAAAATGTAAGTTATTCTCTATTGTGTGTTTGTAAACCAATGCTAAATGAAGCTACTTACAAGTCATATAAATGCCATTATACTGCTGTAATACAATTGATTATGCTATTCCTTTTCAGATGAAGCTCAGGGAGACAAAGCGAAACAGAGTATACGAGCAAAATGTGCTGAATACCTGGACAGAGCTGAGAAGTTGAAGGAATATCTAAAGAAGAAAGAAAAAGCTCCTCCCTCCAAGCCCGTTAAAGAATCTGGGAGTGAAGACAAAGGGTGCGTTTGAGGGCTGGGCAGCTGACAGCTGATGTCATGCAGTGATTTCTGTTTTTAGAGTTTAAAATGGTTACATTTTTAATATATGTATATTTTGTTATGCAGAAATGAAAGTGATGAAGGTGATGATCCAGAGAAAAAGAAGTTCCAAAATCAGCTCTCAGGTATTTATTTAATCATAATTGTTCATCAGTTAATTTTAAATATTTTAGACAATAAATGATGAGAATTTCTTCTTTTGTTCCCAGGTGCAATTGTTATGGAGAAACCAAACATTAAATGGAATGATGTTGCTGGTCTTGAAGGAGCAAAAGAAGCTTTAAAAGAAGCTGTTATTCTTCCAATCAAATTCCCCCACCTTTTTACAGGTACCCAGTGAGATTCACAGCTTTAAATCATCTGGCAAGAATGATAAGAATAACAATAACAACCATAACTTTTGTCTCAAAGGTAAGAGAACTCCTTGGAGAGGGATTTTGCTCTTTGGACCTCCAGGAACAGGAAAGTCATATTTGGCGAAAGCCGTAGCTACAGAGGCAAACAATTCAACCTTCTTCTCCATCTCCTCATCTGACCTCGTCTCTAAGTGGCTTGGGGAGAGTGAAAAGTAAGTGTAATCAAGAAGTTGAATTGTTTTTATAATTATGAATTGTCATGCAACAGCCAGTCTGTAAACTGCATATGATATGCCCATAGGCTGGTAAAAAATCTTTTTTGCCTGGCACGAGAACACAAACCTTCAATCATTTTCATTGATGAAATTGACTCTCTCTGTGGCTCCCGAAGTGAAAATGAGAGCGAGGCTGCCCGTCGTATAAAGACAGAATTTTTGGTGCAGATGCAAGGTACGTGATTGTAGACTTGATTTAAAGCTGCATAAACAGTGCCAATATACAGAGCAGTGACAATCTTTTATTCCGCAGGAGTGGGCAATAATAATGATGGAGTGTTAGTACTTGGAGCAACAAACATACCCTGGACTTTAGATTCAGCTATTCGAAGAAGGTAATTATTAATTGATAAATGTATGCAGTTGAAGCTTTTTTTTTGATTGAACATAACACAAATGTTGTCTCCCAGATTTGAAAAGAGGATTTACATCCCGCTGCCTGAAGAGCATGCCCGCTCCTTTATGTTCAAGCTCCATTTGGGGGCCACTCCCAACAGTCTTTCAGACTCAGACTTTGTAACTCTGGGCAAGAAGACAGATGGTTACTCTGGGGCAGATATCAGCATTATTGTTCGAGATGCTTTGATGCAGCCAGTTCGAAAGGTCCAATCTGCAACCCACTTCAAAAGGGTATGCCTGAAATCCTTATTTTAGTAATACAATAGTAATATAGGCCCAAATCGTCATTGCCGAGACAATTTAAGCAGTTGTCCAGCTGAACATTTTATTTTGCATTACTCTAAACTAATTTATTATTCAGAATTGTGTTATGGGTTTTAATGTAAACATTCTTTTTAGGTAAGAGGGCCATCAAGGAATGATCCAAACATACTTATGGATGACCTTTTGACACCTTGTTCACCTGGCGATCCCAACGCTATTGAAATGACATGGATGGAGGTGCCAGGAGAGAAGCTTTTGGAGCCAGTGGTGTCCATGGTAAGAGAAGAGTAACACTTGATCAACATACTGACAAACTGTTTGTAATGTATGTGTGTTTTCAGCCTGACATGCTGAGATCTCTGTCCAATACGAAGCCAACTGTAAATGATCAAGACCTGGAGAAGCTGAAAAAGTTCACAGAGGATTTTGGTCAGGAGGGCTAAATACACAGTTAAACTTAACCAAGCCAAAGCAATGTATTTGTGGTCATCTTTACTTGTGTTTCTCTCTGTCCTGGCCTATTTTTTTGGAAATTACTGGCCATGATAATATGCCTTTCTTCTCTCCTAAGAATGGACTGTGTGTATTTTAATTTAAGAGATTTAAAATGGCCCTGCATATAAATTGGTAATATTTTTTGCATTTTAAAAGTAAAGTAAACAAAGATTACAGAAAAAGGCACCCAGTGACTAATAGACTCTCAGTGATTGCCTCACTCAACGTAAGTGCCCCTTATGTGCTCTATGCGTTATATAAGGAAACATTTTCTAGCCTGTACTGTACTTTGAGGAATGTATTTGGACTAGGAGAGTGGTGTTAAGTGTGTATTTTCTGTTTTTCAGATTTTTTGAGGAATATCAAGTTTCTTAGGTCAGGATGTTTGTAGAGTTTGACCCAGGGAAAACTTTGCATTGTGTTTCAGTAGTTTTTTGTTTACTGTTTTTAATTCAACATGGTTAAAGGGGTGAAACACCAAAGGTGCCAGACCAGCATTATTTTAAACTCACTAGATATGAAATGCTAAATCACGATATGCTTTTCTCCACATTCTTTTGTACATATATTTTATTCTATGTACAAATTAGGTTTTTGTTCATTAAATGAACAGGAATATTTTTCCTGCTAACATGTAGCCTTACATTATGCAAATTTTAATATGTAAGGCAATACAATACATGTTAAAGCTCAGATTTTCTTTTATTTTTATAACATAGGAAAAGTTCAAGAATATGCGGCATGTAGCCATACATTGGAGTGTGCCTTCTACATGCAGAAGTTTTTGGTCAATTAAATGCTTGATCATAGCTTAAATAGACTATAACACTTGCACATTTCATGTATGCTCTAGTAGATCTTGTATACAACTGAACTTCGCTCTCATCAGGTCGACTTTATTTCTGTTTGGGAATATTATCTTATTTCACTGTAAATGTCTACTTATTATAGTCAACATAGAAATCTTTTCTAAGTGAAAAGGTCTGTATATCACACACTATATTTCCATATTGTAAATAAAGGTTAAAGCTGAAGGTGGTTCAAGCTCCAAGTCTGAAATGATTTCATTTGGTCCACTGTGGGTTTTCAAAGTAGGCTCAATACCCATTGGGAGTTGTGACATAATTACAAGAACAAAAACAGCTGAATCAATACTTTTAATGAAAAACATATATTTGAATTGATATTAGGTTAAATGGAGCAATAAACAAATCAATAAATGTAATAAAACCAGTGTTAATGTTTTGACACTAGTTTCATTTTGCTGTACGGGTGTCGAGTTTTTAGTTATTTCGGGGGTCCATGAAGTATATGAACATGGTCACAGCCTGAAAACTTTGGGAACCGATCTTACGAAAGACGCCGGGGCAGTAGGGGGCAGCGTAGACTTGTTCTGTGTGTTTGAGAGCACCAGAGGCCCCACAGAAGAAGCCAGTCGGATTTGTTTTGGTTTTGCGCTTTGTCACTGGTCCCGTGTCACCGGAGCAAAGGTCCACCACGCCTGCACTTTCACCTGGCCGCTGCACATTTCTGACATTCAGGCAAAGCGGGACTCCTCCTCCTCTGGGATCCGTGCTACGCCACACCTTCTCCGGGCCGCCGCCCCCTTCAAGCTCCGTTATTCCAGCCCAGAAACAGGCCCAGAAGCTAGTTAGCCACAAGCTAACGACTGTCTGCTTTTACTCATGTCATCGGAAGAAGCTTTGGGTTCATCGATTACGGACTGGCTGTTTGTCAACTCGTGGTGGCTGCTCTTGCCTTTCATCATGCTCCTTGTAGTCGTAGCCTTTATAGTGGCCTTTGTGTTGCTGTTATACATGATATCACCTCTAATCAGCCCCAAACCTCTCAAACTCAACGGGGCCCACGTCGTGGTAAGTCATGTGCTAACTTATTTGTAGCTTGACTAGAGTCAGTCAGACTCACAGTCAAAGTTGCAGATTGTAGCGACCACTTGCATTTATTGGCATAATGCTCTGATAGATACGTAACAATCTTCACAGACCTAAGAGGAGCCACATAGTTAAACAAAGTAAAAGAAGCGTTCAGTGGGAAATTAGACATTATCATTGTATGGACACGCCCACCCCGTGTTTAAACTGCGAAATTTAATACAAATAATGAATGATTCTGTAATATCAATTTTCTTACCCTGCTTACTTGGTGCAAATGGCTTATTTATTATTATAATATTATTTTTATTACTATTATGTTTTGATTCAGATCTAGGCATGTTTTAATTTGGGCTGTAATACTGCAGAAGATTGCTGTTGATATAGCTTTCATATCATACGAGCATTGGTTGTTAACATAAACGTTACTGGGATCTTGCTTTTGCAGGTGACAGGGGGATCTAGTGGAATTGGAAAATCCATTGCTATTGAGTGCTATCGACAAGGAGCTTTCATCACTTTGGTGGCACGAGATGAGGTTAGTACTGAATATTACAAGTTTAGTTTACAGATAGCAGGTTAGATTTTCAATCAGAACCCAAGAAGAAACTGTATGCAACGTTTGATTATAAGTCCTTCTGTTGTAGGCTAAATTGCTTCAAGCTAAGAAAGAAGTGGAAAAATTTGCCATCAATGACAAACAGGTATGCCTTTCTTGTATTTAGGTTTTATTTTATTTATTGCATTAGGTTAGTGTAAATGTTTTAATAGCATGTATGTAAAAGGTCTCTGGCTTTTGGCCTCATTGCACAACTGCCTCTGTGTATTCAGGTGGTGCTGTGCATATCAGTGGATGTTTCAAGTGACTACCATCAAGTGGAAAGCGTGATAAAACAGGTCGGTACTTTTTTTTTTTCTCACCTCCCTTCAGATTATTAACTGTATTTAAGAGTTTAATTTATTTAGCATGAGTACTAAATCCTTATGTCTGTAGGCTCAGGAAAAGTTGGGGCCTGTCGACATGCTTGTGAACTGTGCTGGCACCTCCATCTCTGGAAAATTTGAGGAAGTAGATGTGGACCGCTTTAAAGTAAGTTTATTCTTATTATTCTTATTTCAGCTGTTGCTTATCTATTCATATATCATGACCCTTTGCCTAATTTCAACAGAAAATGATGGAGGTGAACTACCTGGGCAGTGTGTACCCCACACGGGCAGTTATCACCACAATGAAGGAGCGCAGGATGGGTCGGATCATGTTCGTGTCCTCTCAAGCAGGACAAATAGGGCTGTTTGGATACACTGCATACTCCCCTTCCAAATTTGCCTTGCGTGGTCTTGCAGAATCACTGCAAATGGAGGTGAATTATTAATTTTTTATCAATTAGTATTTTGTTTGTCTGCTGGTCATTTTAAATCACATGTTTGTCACTACAACAGTCTTGTAACTAGTTACGAGTTTTGTATCTTTCTTTAGCCAGTTCAAATTGTCATTGTCTTCTTGGAGCACAGTTTTATATTATTATTACTTGTTTATTTAGTAGAAAAAGTACATGTTAATGGAAATGCAATAAATACCTGAAAGTTAAAACACCAGACTGTAGCTCAGGTGAAGTTGGAGAAATGTCTTGCTTAAGGGTACAATGTCAGTAACATATTAAGTTAATGGTGGTGGTTTATTTTTGCAGATCAAGCCGTACAACATCTACGTGACTGTTGCCTACCCCCCTGACACAGACACGCCTGGACTAGCTGAGGAAAATAAGACAAAGGTTTGTGTCACTATAATAAAATCTGACACTTGTGCAAAGAACTGTATGTATTTTAACTTTTCATCTTTTAATACATTAGCCTCTAGAGACAAAATTGATCTCTGAAACTTCTGGAGTTTGTCAACCTGAGCAAGTGGCTAAGATAGTTGTTCGGGATGCAGTGGTAAGAAGCATATTTGGTTCTCCCCCAAAATATGCTGTTCTTTGTTCAACTTATCTTTTGTGAAGATCCAATGACCCCTTTGCTCTTCTCTATGTCTCTGTACTCAATTAAAATATGAGCTTACCATTTCTGTTTTTACTGCTTTACAGCAAGGAAACTTCAATAGTTCAATAGGGCCAGATGGATACATGCTCTCAGCCCTAACCTGTGGAATGTCACCTGTCACCTCCATCACAGAGGGTCTTCAGCAGGTAGCACCACTGTACTGTTTTATATATTGGGTAATATATTGGGTTGTAACATTTATTTGAATGTGTCTGTTTTATCTCCACAGATTGTTACGATGGGTTTGTTCCGTACCATCGCCCTCTTCTACCTTGGCAGTTTTGACAGCATTGTGCGCCGATGCATGATTCAAAGGGAGCAGTCAAAAGCAGCAGACAAGAGGGAGTAACATCAGCCTTAGCTTCTCTGTAGCTTCCTGCTCTCCTTCCCTTTATAGTTTTTGTACTATGTTTGTCTATGGCAGTGGAGAAAAGGCCAAACTTTGTTTTTTTAAAAATACATTTCCATGGGAAAGAACAACATGCTGGGTTCAGACTTCATTGCCTTTGTGTTCTGGGACCACTGTTCTGCTACTATTAAATGCTGGCTATATGAAGAAAACATGTTACACATGTTGTGTTAAGTTTACACGTGCCATGTAAACTTAACACAACTCCTAAATTTGAAATATTAGCACAAAGTAATGGGGTTTCTCCTGTGCAGATGAAAAAATTATATTTCACTGAGATTCGTGGCTTTTTGTTATAGTGTTAGTATTTATACTACAGAAGACACAGGTGTTTTGTCCATAGTGATCAGACACACTAAAGCAATGTTTGTCCAAACTCGGCATAAACGTTTACTCTGCTCCAAGTATTTTAATTGCCCATCATCTAACAGCTGAGCATTCCAATATCTGCTTTTAATGTGCATTTCTGTGGAGAAATAAGGGTAGACTAAACATCCCATTCTTTGAAGCAGGTAGGCTTCAATGACGGTTCTTCATTGGTGTCCCTTTTCCAGCCCTACAGTGTTGTTGTTTTAGTCCTCAAAGAGCAGAAGCAACAGATAGCCTGTCTGACCGGTTGTGCCAAAAATGGCTTGAAAGTCTTTCCCACCAATATATCACAATGGATATATTGTGGCATGTATCACAACACTAGGTCCACCTAGTAATTTAGCAGTTTTCTCAAAAAGTCTCCTTTGTACCACAAGTCTTTGCAGGCAAAGCAGCTTCCCATTTGACTGAATAACTTTGCTATTTCAAGTTTTGTTATTGTGCTCTGTGAGTGAAAGATACAGAGTTCTGTTCAATTATATCAAACGTGTTTGAGTGTTTGCCTTGTTCCAAAACAAATTTAATCACACAAAATGCAAAAAACTATCCAAAATATTACATTTCAGATGCAGTGTAGGACCAAATCGTTTTGGGGAAATCATCTGCACGTATGTACTGTATGTGTGCTTTGTTTGCTGTGACTGAGCCAACCCCAGGGAAAAGAAAAGCCATTGTATTTTATAGTCTCTGGTTAAGTGCACCAAATTATTTAAATCTTACTTTGTTTACATACATATTAAGGCAGATAAAGTGAATATTAGTACCAACAGAACACCAGCATAGGTGGCAAAGGTTCACGTCATATGTGTTATGTGTAATAGCAAGCATGATGTGTTCACATGTTGTATATGCACACTGGTAGCCACCTGTGTTCCGCTCATATGTTCTGAGTTGGCAATAGATAGACAAACTCGCTGGTTCGAGTAGTTACTTTGCAGACTGACTGGGGGTGCTAGAGGCCTATTAAACTAAAGCTCATTATTATGGGCATGAATGAAAGGTAGAAGACGCTTGTACAACATGCACAAGACACCATAAAATTAGATCACCATTCCCTTGTGAGTTTGGTTAAGCCTTGAATATCTTTTGTTTGCTTTTGTTTTACACATAAGGATATAAAGTGGCTCACAAGTCTTCCATTGATCCATCACAAAATGGGAATGTACTTTAACATCACACAAATCAGTAAAGAGGAATTGTAATGATGAATACACCACTATTTAAATGCCAAATGTGTTAAGACAATTTTCTGTAAATGTGATGCATTATTTTGAGATTTTTTTGGATGTTGCTGCTTTGTTTTCTTAGAGGTTAGTTTGTGAAATCTGTGGAGGTTTTTGGGACCCATTCTAAGCCTTAAGACTACTGATAAAGCTATAAGAATGGACCTATCCACAGAGCTACTGGTTTACCTGTTCATTTGTTGACTTTTTCAATGTAAAATGCAAACTGTTTTTGTGTATTCTGTGAAATGTAGCCTTAATGGTATCCAACATATGAAAGTGAGAATGAATGAGTCACCTGTGATGAAGTTCTCATTTGATATTGGTGGGAGGCTTCAAAAGCTTTTCATGAAAAGTTTATTGCTTTTACTGAGGTAGCGACATATAGTTTCTAGAAAACAATGTAGCCATTTTAGCAGGTTTTATTTTACACCTTTAAGCTATGCAAATCAAGCTTATTCTTGTGTTATAGGAACATACTACTATTTAACAATCGCTGTTCTATATTTCTGTGTCATCATCATAGGTGATATGCAGTCATTAGTTTGAAAGTCACAATGCATAGTTCATTTAATCTAGTGTATGATTATTTTAATGTTCTGCCAAAAAACTTAACACATTCACCTTGTGTGCCATTGAGAGACCGTGTGAGAAGTTGTTTCTTTGTCTTATTTTCTTATGTGATAAAACTAAATAAATTTGTGAAGACAATATATTTTGTTGTAAAAATGTAACATTTGACACAAAAAAGACAAATGAAAAAAAAGAGTTTATGAATCTAAACAATTTTGTACAGCAGGTTTGAGCTTCCATCCACAAGGGGGTAGTTGTACCACATCAAAGGAGAGAGGGGATGGTCGTGTGCTTCTCATGAATTAATGAAAGGCGTGCGCGTGGTTCTTGAAACAGCATGGAGACCAGGAGGGTATACTGTGTGGAAGATTTATACAAACGTTAGAAGGGCAGAACTGGTAGCTGAAACCTCGTGATGTAGGGGGGTCTCTCCACAACTTTATTCTGGGAACTGGACTGTACTCTGCCTGAACTTACAGACCTACGTATGAATTTAAGGGGAATGAATGTCCAGCAACAGAAATATAATAACAGTCATAATCATAATCATAGAAGTTAAAAACATTGTTATAAATTCAAATAGGCCCATGAATCATCTCTCTCATAATGCAAAGCATTCAAGTAGGCCTATGTTGTTTCATGTCCATCGCAGTATTACTACAAATATTTCTTATAGGGCTGAGGCAAACCATATGTATCCAGACATGATTTTGCAGCTTTCATGAGCGATGTGTGAGCATGGATGGAGGCCATTACTTCCTGCCGCTGACGTCAGGACGCGTAACCGCGGAGTGCACGGCCGGCGGCGCGCAGGGAGCACGGAAAGAGGAGGATATGAGGAACCGAGAAGGGCTCAGTCCGACCTTGTCTGGCTCACAGTCACACACCCGGACGTGCACACGCGGCTGAAACTGTCGGCGGCTTTCAACTTTGACCACCATTCATTTTTTTTTCGCTGTGGTTCACGTCTGGGTGATGTGCACACAGGTCTACACTTTTCTTCCGCATATTTAATTTCTATGCAAAAAGAAGGTCGCCCATGTCGCTCCAAGGATTCGGGAAATGAACACCGCTGCTGCTGGCAGTATTTTGAGCTATCTTTTGGATTGCGTTGGGAGTTTTTAAAGCCTATTTAGGCCAACGTTCTCCTGTGCGTAAGAGTGCACATCTCACTTTATTATACCATGATGCGTTTGATTTAGGATTTCAACTCTCTTCTTGAAGTGCCAAATTAACCCGCAATGGCGAACGATTGCAATCGCAATATTGTGGAAAAGTACATTTGCCATAAACTCTCTAAACGTGGCTTCGCATGGGGCTTTCACGAAGACGCCGAGGATGAAGACGTCGCCAATAACGGGTCAATAGTTGCATCTTCTCCGGCTTTAGTGAATCGTCGGTGCCGCGAAGAGCGTCTGTGTTCGCGTTCCACTTCGACCGACCCACACGCGGCCATCCACAGAGTCTTGCGCGAAGCTGGGGATGAACTTGAGAGGCTGTACCAGCCCGACTTCACCGAGATGTCCAGGCAGCTGTATCTGACATCTTCCACGGCGCAGAGAAGGTTCGCCGAGGTTATAGACGAACTGTTCCGCGATGGAGTGAACTGGGGGAGGATTATTGCGTTTTTTGAGTTTGGTGGAACCGTGTGCGTGGAGTGCGCATCCAAAGAGGACATGTCATCCCAAGTGGACAACATCGCAGACTGGATGACGGAGTATTTGAATGGACCTCTCAACAGCTGGATTCAAGACAACGGGGGATGGGTAGGTCTCATTTCGCTTTGCTTATGAAGTCTTCCAGTGTTTGTGACTGGTTTATGAGCACATTACGATCCGGTGTGCTGTAGGTGTCATTTTTCACGCGATCCTATTTGGCCCAACCATGCCTAACCATTAACAAAATCCATAGTAAGATCTTGGTATTACGCAGAGATGTACGGCCTCTGTACTACTCCACCCTGATTCGCTCTCAACAGTGGCTGTCAAATCTGCTGAACCAATCCGACGCAGAGCTGTGTCACACCTCCCCACGCTCTGCTGGCACGTAGAAATAGAGTTCAGTCCTATCCATAGAGGAAGCATAGGTGAACGATCTCGGAGGAGCGCGCTTCCTAGTACATTTCGTCATATGTTATAACGTATGGAAGAATTGCGCTCTAGGCGTACGAGTGTGATTTGGGTCTGATTTTAGGTCATGGGTGCAGCGGAAACTGGGCCAGACACATATCAGCACGTGGGCAACCATTGGACTAATGTGTTCGGCCTCTGGTCATGGATGGACTCGATCCAGCTCTGGTCGCTGTTGCCCAAAATGTACTTAAAAATAATATACATTTATATAAAATGAAATATTATAAATGTATATCTCTATAATTATATCTATACTGTCTATAGTATAAGCTTACATTCTAGCCTAGTCTAATGTGTAGCCCCCTGGCCATAATAGTATAGAAAGCCCAAGCCTATTATGAAGTTAAAAAAAAAAAGATGCTCTGCAGTCTGCCTTGTGTCCAGCCTACTGAAGGTGGAACCAATAGGCTATACAGTAACCAGAATACTGAAGCTTAATTAGAGCAATTGCCTTTGTGAATGCAATAATGGCACGTCTCAATAGTCTCATATATGTTCAATTGATTTCACAGAAAAGTGAGATGATATCAGTAATTTTTATTCTGCAAACTTCTTTCAGGACTGCATAGAGTGGCACAACAGATTAATAGAACAATTACCAAAATTTTCAGCTTTAATACATTAATGCATGAATTACAAAAGATATTAATTTGTGTGAACTTTTTACATCTAACTACATCTAAAAAGTGCACTTCTGGACAAATTGAGTGTCCTCCAGCCACATTCCCAATGAAGAGCTCTACAGGCTCAATGGCCATTAAAGCTAATCTGCTACAAATTAACCAAAAAAACTCTTTTGATCAGAGCATAACATTTTGCCTCCATTTAGCCTGAAGGGATTGGATTTTGTATTTTTGGAGGGAGGGGTGGGAGGGGTCATCAATGATTCATACTGAACATTTCATCTCAAAGGGAGGACCATTTAACATTCCCCTTGAGTGCGTGCCTGGCCCCCGGAGGTGCCAGGTTGTGCCCCATTTCAAAGAGAGAACCAACAGTGGGGAGGGCCCTGAAGGTAACACGCTGCTAATGCGAACCTCTGTGTTTAACATGCAGTCCTGGGTTTCTTTCTGCACGGGAACTCTTTTGTCTGATTCTTAGACCTGTGCCTTGAAGCTGGCATGGTGAGATTGCCTGCTGGAAGTCCCGTGAGCCCAGCTATAGCACCACAATAATGTAGGTCATCAAGTCTAGCGTTTTCCAGCCGACTGCAGACGCTTCTCTGTCTGCTGTTCCGCTGTTCCCATAGAGACACAAATAGTGTTTATTTGATGGGATTATTTTAGGATTATTCAAAAGCATATGACCCCATGTTTAGTTCAGTAGGTTTTCTTTAATGAAATTACTTTGGTTCAATGTAATCTGGCTTTTACAATGGATCATTTTTGGGTTTAGCGGGCATATTGGATTGGAACAAGCACTTAGGTTGATTTATCCTCATTTGACTGCCTCTCAGGTCGGGAATTTCCTGAGTCGTGGGCTGCAGTTATTACCTGACATTTAATAACTGACACTGCAGGCACTGGCTTTGTCTAGAGTGAGTTTGTGTAACCAAGCTTCCCCATTCTAAAAAGCCATTGGGTTGTTTAATTATGACATCACAAGCCACATATGTTGATGTGTTACTTTTTTCCAATTTTTTCCTACATGTTTAGGACATTTGTATCGACATAACAATAAAATACCTAAGTATTATTACACTATTATTATAGTATATTATATTATATTTTTGTTTTTGGGTGGGTATATATGAATTCCCTCCTTCACTCTCTCAAACATACAGATATACAAAAATAGGATATTGCTTCAAGAAGGGCATCTGGCATTCATTGTTGGAGGTAGATATTGTGGAAGTGGAAACACTGAAAGTAAATAAATGTGGTGTTCTGAATTAGACTCAGATAAACAATATTAGATTTAAGAAGGCTAACATAACATAACTTTTTTATTTATTTTTGCCAAACCAGTAGTATTGCTGTGTCTGGTCTAGGAAGATTTCATGAGACTCTGGATTGGACAGCTATACTTTCTGTTTACAATAATATAAAAAGGCAACAAGTACATTTCATTGGAACTGCATTGGCTGGATTGGTCTGAAGTCCATGTGCTATAAATATGTAATTTGATTTAACTTTCAGGAGGGATTTAATTTGTTTTGCTGGATTTTTTTTTTTTTTAGGATATTTGCTGTCAGGGATCATGCATTCCATGTCCATCTGTTGCTGGAACCATATTGCTTCAAGCTTTATTTATTATATTATTTAAGAGGGGGCTTCAATATTTGAAAGAGGTGAAAACTTAAAACCACACTGCATATTTACATCTACTTTTTTTTCTAATTTGGACCACCATATGTCTTGTCAGGAAAAAAAAAACAGTTTTTCTGGCTGATTCTCATTTTAAAATGGTTTATTACACAATACATTATATTGGGCTTTGATATTGACTGAATAAATGGTTTCCCTAAAATAGAGATTTTCTTTTGTTAATAGTATGTCATAATTAGACATCTGGAGTCTGGACAGCAGACTATAATAGAAGCTTGCACTAAACATTGTTGAGTCTAGCATCGGCAGCACTGGATATCCTAGCCTATACTTTCTAAAGGTAAACAAACCTGTCTGTAAGTAACAGCAGCTTCCAGACATGCTTATCTTCTTGTTTGTCTCCACCTGTTTAAATGCATCTCCTTTCTCAGCTTTTGCGGTGGCCAAAATTGCTCTAATCAAGGGGACAATTGCACTTGGTTAGTATTTTTCACCTAAACATGGTCCACCTTTGTTTATTTACAGGTACTGTCTGCAAATTCATGGAGAGATTGAAGGAACTGGTGGTTTCAGAAAACGCATGCTTGACACTTGATTGGATGAACGTATGGCACTTGGACCAAATAAGTGGTCAGGTTTAAATTTAGTTAGAAATGCACAGGTCAGGGTAAAGAAACAGGAAATTTGAGACACTAATCTGCATAACTAGTACATACTGTAATATATATCTATATAATATAATATAATTTTATATATATATATATATACACACAATGTACATTGAAAAATAATATATATAAAAAAATGACAAGGTACATTTATAGTAGTGACTCAGGTAAAGATTGCAGCTAGGATTGCCTCGATAACAAATTTTGATGTGCAATATATTGTTACAGATATAAACTGTGATAAACGATAAGACTGAAACTACTTCATGCCACTGACACAATAACAATAATACAGGATAATCCCAGTAAACTATTTTTAAATATGCAGTATCTTTCAAAAGGCTTTAGCTGCAACAAATAAATAGTACAATCAATGAACCAATAATTAGCTACAGCAGTTAGTTATTCAGCCCTCTACAGCTCAAATTGTATTGTATTACAACAAAAACACTTCAAATCTGTTCACTTTTACAAAGAAATTGTACACATGATAAATACTGAGCCCCCAAATGTATGGCTGTAGCTTTCATATAGTGAACGATAAGTTGATACTGTAATTATCGTGACAGGTCTTTTGCAGCCAATCACAGAGCAAATGTGCATGAACTGTATTGTATCACAAAAACAGGTTGGTGTCTTGCATCTGTCGTGATCCAAAATTACATTAACTAACATGGAATATACTGAGATTTATTAATATCTGTGCTATTTTTGGGAGACAAGTTTATTATCATTTGCATTAATACAATCTTCACATCACCATAGCAACCCAAGCTTTACAATATATTATATCGCTGTAATTTAATTTTAGCCTAAAATCTTCTGACCTCTGTGTAACTTTCATGTCTGGAACCTTAAATTGATTCTGCCGTTCTCCAGATTCGACCTTGGAGAGCGGATTGTCTTGTAGAAGGTGCAGGGTTAATACGGATGAAAAGTGTTTTTGAAGTCGCTCACAGTGGGATCAGGTTTTCTGAGGAATGCTACTAGCCAGGTGGCCTATTTCTCCAGTACAGGTGTGTGTGTGTGTCTGCATGTGCGTGTGTGTGTGTGTGTGTGGGTGTGTGTGGGTGTGTGTATGGTGGGAGACAATGTACCATAGCCAGACTGGGTCCTGTGGGGGGATTCCCTGTACAATCGGTCGTGGGACCCTCATGTTACGGGTCTATGGACACCTCCCCAGTTGTAGAACCTAGTTTAGCTTGAGTGGATGTGAGAATGCCAGCAAAGTCATTAATCTCCATATAGGTGACAAGCTGGCAGAGTAGAGTGGGGGAAAACCCAAACAAAGTGAGTCACAAAGGAAACGCATGCAGCGATTTTCGATAAAACTCCACTTACATCCAATTTGTGTTGCGTGGGTAGAAACATGGTAGTTTACATCACTGTGTCCTGCAGCCATTGGAATTAATGAAAAATCTTTATGCACTCTCACTTAGTAAACTGAGATGGTATTGAACAAAGCAGAAATATTGCCAAAGGGGCATAGTGGCAGAGTGGTTAGCGTTCACAGTCCAAAGACATGCATGAGATGAATTGGTGACTCTAAATGGTATACTCTATTCTGTAATTACATTGCGGGAGAGGTTTTTTAGCTGCACCCAGTAAACAAGCATTAGGGATTAGAAATGTGTAGGCCTTTTAAACCAGTTATTACTTGTCACTGTGTTGCTAGCTTGCTTTGGTTGTCTTTTGATAT